GCTGCTTTCCTCTTTTAATGTCCCCCTGATCCACCTAACTGTCATCTGTGCTTCCAAGAAGCTGCAGCATGCATGCATCCACACCCCAGTAAAACATTTTGGCAGACAGGCTAAACCTGGTTGAAGGTAACCGAGGGGTCTCAAACCTATCAATGAGTTATAGGGAATGTCTACTCCAGGCATGTGAAGACTTCCTCCAGTGGAATAGGTGGATGAAAACAATTTGCTCCAACAGCCATGAAGGCAGCTGAAGCAGGAGCTATGGAGCCTGCTAATAAACAGAACTTGAATTTTTTATCATCACTTTATTGCTTCTTCTTTTGTGTCACTTCTCAGTTCTTAATACTAGTCACCCACAGGAAAGTGGCAAAGAAGACTGGTTTAATGAAACAAGGTTTATATACACTGTTGGCATGTTATGTTGTGGAAGTCCGAAGTTCTCAGTTGCATTACCACTTCTTTTTGGCCCACACTACTGGGTGCTAAACATAGCCTTAATTCCTTCTGTAATTATCAACGTAGCTTCAGAGTTGTGTGGCTTTCAGAACAGGGCATCTATGTTGATATTAGTTTTCCCTGGCAAGTGGTATATGCTGAATTTATAAGGTCTTTGAATTGAGGAGACAACCCACTTCAAAGCCAAGAATTCAACTTTTTGTGTGGAGTAGCAAGTCTTACCATCATCCAAGTCCTCTTCTGATGAATACAGCTGGTTTAGGAGGAAAAAATTGCAAACATAACTTCCATTCAAATAGCCTAGAAGGGATAATAGATCTAGGAAACAAATGATCCAGCATTAAATAGGAAGCAACACAATCTGTGGACAGAAACGGAAAGGAAGGCATTATGGCTTAGGTTTTGTATGTTTCAATCATCCCACAGGTAGTTGTTGTATGCTTGTACTCTCACTCTCTTCTGCACCCACCTTCATGAGATCCTGTAGGAGATGGCTGCAGCGATCAACTCCTGCTGTGATGACTTCTATACAGATATACTCATGATTGCTTCTTTAGCTTCACTGTCTCAGAAGCTTATTCAAGGTCATAGGCAGGGGCCAGAACACCAAAACACTGGGAATGTTCAATAAATCATCCTGTCCCCAACTAGCAAGTGTGTTTGTTCCTGGGCTCCTTAGGGTTTCTGTGTCAGTAGAGAGGCCGAAAATGAGGATTACATGTTATTTACCTCAAGTAAACTATAAACTGTTTAAAGGGAGAGGCTAGTTTGTTTTAGTATTTGTTTCTCCAGTGCCTAGCACATTGTAGCACCCAGTGAGCTCTTAAGAAATACTTGTTGAATTGAATCAGAGTAGCAATTGAAATTCATAGATTTGTATGTATGTATAAATATATTAGAAATGTTATACATAATTATATATAATTCATATATTTTAAATACACACACATATATAGATGTATATATTTTATTTTTACATCACCTTCATTCGCCAGCATTTTCTTCCTCTTCTATCCAAGGAACTCTCTTTAATCTATCAATCAAGCAGCAAACATTTATTAAGTTCCTACTTTGTGTCAGAGATTAGTACTCTTTTTTATATAGAGATACTTCTCTGGGAGAGGGAGTAGGAGGAATGCTGACAGAAGCTATGCTGATACAAAAAGCCAGAATATGTCAACAAAATTTTGTAAAATGGAGGGGAAGCTAGGTGGCTTAGTGGATAACAGCACCAGCCCTGCAGTCAGGAGGACCTGAGTTCAAATGTGGCCTCAGATCAAACACTTGACACTTACTAGTTGTGTGACCCTGGGCAAGTCACTTAACCCTAATTGCCTAAAAAAATGTAAAATGAATAAACTTTTCAAAAAGAACATTGTTAGGAAAATTGACATTTAAGTTTATATTTTGTTTTTTGTATTTTTAATGTTTGTATGTGACACTTTAGTTGATTATAAAAAGGTTGGACTTGTAACTTAATTGTCCTAGCATTTTCCACAGTGTTCTGCATGTAATACATGCCTAATAAATGCTTATGTCTGCATTAACTGTAACATTTTAACAAAATATTCTTGCTATCTTTGTCATTTTTGTACAAGAGAAAAGAATTGAAAAGCTTGTTCTTTTCCATTTGTCAGATTGGTATACACACATATATACACATAAAACTAATTCCAGACTCCTATGAGGAAAAACATAATGTATAAAATATACTGAATCATAAGTCTAACACTGCATACTTTAATTAGTCCATTTTAGAAAGAGTGAGGGTCCTTTCCTTCAGGGAAAATTCAAACTAAACAGTTTGAACACCTTCTTATATTTGTGATTTCCACTGTTGTAATGGAAACTGGGGTGTATGGGGTTTTCAAGGAAAACTAGCACTTCTAGTCTGAAGACTTACTGAGCCCTTTTCAGGGCTGCTCATCCACTTTTGGTGTCCACCTGGCACTCAACTCTGGCTCTGAAACGTTGTAGCATGCATAACAGCCGCATTGTGGTAAAACTGTCTCTGCAGATGGACTAAACCCAGGCCTGAAAGTCATTGGTGAGTTAGGGGGATATCTACCCCAAGCATGTGAAGACTTCCCAGGGAAGAATGGGCAGATGAAAACAATTTGTTCCAACGGCCATGAAGGTAGCTGAAGCAGGTGCTGTGGAGCACTTAGACTTTGGTCAGACACCAAAGACGCTAATGTCATTAACTGCATCCTGGGCCATTACCAGTCATCCTGACTTTTGTCTTGCCACTGGACTTTGATGACTCTAAAAGAGAGAGTGAGGCTGGTCATTTTTGTTATTTGCATTGCTGTGGTCATTTTTTATATTGCTTTCTTGGTTCTGCAAATAACAAAAATGAAACTGAAAACTGAGAAGCTTGGACCTGAAGAACAATTGAAAAAATGCATTTCCCTACCCTTCTTTGCAGAAGTGGTAGAAAATGACAATGGAATATTACAGATATTCTCTGTCTTAGTTGATGTATTGGTTTTGCTGAACTGCCTTTTCTGTCTTTTAAAAAAATTAGGCAGGGTCAAAAAAGAGAGAATGGAATAAATGGGGAGTAGGATAGGATGAAGGGAAATAAGTTTTTCACAACAGGACTAGTATGGAAGTGTTTTGCATGACTACACATCTATAACTTGTATCGAGATGCTTGCCTTTTCAGTGAGGGTGGGTGGGGAGGGAGGAAGGGAGAAAATTTGTAACCCAAAGTTTTAAAAACATATGTTAAAAAAGTTAAAGTAAAAAAAATTTTTTAAATTAGGCAGTATACTAAGCACTTAACAAATATTATCTCATATGATCCTCACAACAACCCTGGGAGGTAGGAACTATTAATGTTCCCATTTTACAGTGGAAGAAACTGAGGCAAACAGAGATTGGATGATTTGCCCAAAGTCACACAGCTAGTGTCTGAGGTAGGATTTCAAATCAGGTCTTTCTGACTCCACACCCAGCACTCTGTCCACTGAGCCACCTTGTTGCCTCTGTCTTAGCTATTGCTGCCCCCCAGAGAGTTCAGTATGTTAGTTTTCTGTGGTGACTGCCAAAAGGATATTTTAATTTTGAAAATATGTGTTTTTAAAAAATCCTATATTAGTAAAGTTGGTCTTACATGTGTTTTATATTCCATGAGTGTATATTGCTTTTTAAAACCAGAATTTGCTTTAGGCTTAGCCTATAATACTGAGATGAGAAATGCCTTCTCCTGTAGGAGATTAGCTTTGAAAAGAGAGTGTCCGGGGCAGCTAGGTGGCACAGTAGATAGAGCACCGGCCCTAGATCAGGTGAACCTGAGTTCAAATTTGGCCTCAGACACATAACACTCACTAGCTGTGAGACTCTGGGCAAGTCACTTAACCCCAATTGCCCTCAGAAAAATAAAAAAAAACAAAAAAACCAGAAGAGCATGGCTAGGCCTTCTGAGTAAAAGGAGGAGCAGCCTTTGGAGGATTCAGAGGAGGGAATTGACATGGCCATGCTTTATGAATAACACTTTGGCACCCGTGTGGGGGATCGGAGAAGGGAGAAACTTGAGGCAGAAGGCCAGTTAAGAGGTTATTGTAGTTATATAGGAAAGAGCCTGAAATAGAGTGATAGCTGGGAATGGAGAGGAGATAAATGCAAGAGATATTGTGAAGGTAGAAGCAATAGGATTTGGCAATTGACTAGAAAATAGCCCTGAAGTTTTATTTCATATTCATCAGATTGGTAAAGATGATTTTTTGAAAAATGGAAGCAGTCAGTGTTTGAAGGGCTATGGGAGGACAGATATTCTATTATACTATTGGCAGTATTGTGATTTGATGCTGGATGCTGGAAAACAATTTGAAATTATGCAATTAAAATCACTAACCTATTCATACCCTTCAACCCAATTATTCCATTATTGAATATGTAGCTCAAAGAGGTCAATAACAGAAAAAGGCCCTATGTATAACAAAATAATCATAACAAGAATCTTTGTTGTAGCAAAACAAAAAAATACAAAAACCCCTGGATATAAAAGGGGTGAGTATAAATTGCGGATTTAGCTGAACAAATTGTGGCATATGAATGTAATAGCACAGTAATAATAATGATGGTTGCATAGAGTTTTTAAATTTGCAAAGCATGTTGTGCATATTATCTTATTTGATCCTCACAATCATCCTGTGAGATAGGTATGGCATTATCCTCATTTATGGATGAGTAAATTGAGGCTCAGAACACTTTTCAGTAGTCACAGGTAGTAAATGTCAAAGATAAGATCTGAACCCAGGTCTTCCTAGCCTAGAACTCTCCCTGTGTTAAGCTTCTAAAGGTCACAATGGAAAAGGACAGGTATCAAAGTTATTGGATGCCACCAATTCCACCCAAATTTTAATGTTTCTTCAGAAGGACATAGAGATAAAAAGAACTTTGGAAATGTGTAATAAATTACTATAATGTGAAGAAAAAGTTTGCATTCCTTCTTTAGTTTTTGCTGAAACAAATTAAAATCTATTAAAATATATAAACAAGATGTAATTAAAAGACTTTTCCTCCCCCCCCCCCCATAGGTCTCAAGGGAAGAAAGAAGAAGCTATCATCTTTTTAAAAGATTCCGTCAAATTTGGCCCAGAGTTTGCAGATGCTTATTCAAGCCTGGCTTCACTGTTAGCTGAGCAGGTAACCAGTTTCTTTTCCTTCAATACTTTAATTATCTATGATTTCATCCATGTTAAACACTAGACAAATCTCTGTCTCCTGTTCTTATCATACCTTCCCTGGTATCCTTGTATTTCTTCTATGATGAGAGAATTTTTCTGTTTTGGCTCTATTGCTGCCATTTGTTTGAGGCAGCAAGCCACATCACTAGCTAGAGAATGCAGAATCAAGATGACATCAAACTTTAGCTATGTGATTAACTGGTTAGTGATAACAATTCATAAATCAGTTTTATTCTGTCTATTTACTCAAGATGAGCATGTGAAGTAACTAGGTATAGTTCATGGTTAGTATGCAAATTCTAGCTATATCCCTAGTGTTTACTGACCAATTTATAATTTTATCAGATATAAATCTTTTCTTCTGCTCTGTCCTTGATGTGTGGATCTTTACCTTTCCTTTCTGCTGTCTGTCAAATTACATTGTTTCTGTCTTGCTGATGTAACTAAGACCTATATAAAATTGCTGAAACTTAGGCTTAGGACTCATTGTTTTTTTTATACCATAAGTCTATGCTGAGTATACAATAAACTAGTTATTAAAATGTTTCTGTATATGATAAGCATAATTGGCAATAGTACCTATCAACAAATCCTTGGACAATTTTCATGTCACTTCAAATAATTTTATGCCACTTCATGTTGACTTTGCTTAGAATGTACTATTTGTCTTACCTCCAAGTCCCTCCTTTCCTTCAAGACTCAACATGTCACATCTTTCATGAAACCTTTCCTGACCCCATCCCCATCCCTACCTGAAGGAATAACTCACTCTTTAAATTTTCAGAGCACTTTGCTTAAATTCTTCCTTTGCATCTCTCTCTCTCTCTCTCTCTCTCTCTCTCTCTCTCTCTCTCTCTCTCTCTCTCTCTCTCTCTCTCTCTCTCTCTCTCTCTCTCTCTCTCTTTCTCTCTCTCTCTCTCTATTGTATCATGGTTATATTATGTATGTTTTCCCTTATTCTTCTATTAGATTGTAAGCTTCTGCCAAGCTGCTTTCTAATCATATCTTTGTATCCTCAGTGCCCAGCATAACATCTTACATAAAGTAGGTGCTCAATAAATATTGAATTATAAGTGCTTTTTCCAGGGTACCTTACAGACTCCCTGTTGTATTTAAAGATATAAATACTCCATATATATATATATATATATGATGTATTTAAGACCTTTACAAAATTTAAAGTGATATATAAATATCAGTTGTTGCTAGTATATTGTTATCTTCCTATATGTCCTCTTATGTTTGTGTGTTTCAAAATCTTATGGAGACCATATTTTCTATTATTCTTTTAAGTATATTAATCATTTAAAATATGATCGTGTCATGCTAAAACTTGGCACATATTAGATATGTAATAATTTTTGTTGAATTGAATTCATGTGTATTAGGCATTATGTGTATATACATGTATACACGTATGCTTTCTGTTAAAATCATTTAGCAAATACGACAATAGGAAAATGAGTATTCACTTATAAATAGATTCTTTATCAAATTGTAAACTTCATGTGAGCAGGGATAATGCTTTATTCAAATTTTGTTTTTTCCCCAGTGCCATGTGCATTACTTTTTCTATGTTATGTCCCTAATAAATGTCTTCTGAATTGGACTACTTGCTATAACACCAATTTTTTTTTTGCTGATTATTATCTAACTTCAAAAATTTCACTAATTAGGATTAATCATAGGGAAGGATGTTCATAGAATTAATGAGAAATGTAGGCTATAGAATATTTCTAAAACTGCAGTTTTCAAGTATAAACTTAACTCTTCATATTGTCCCCTCCCCTAAAAAAACCTGACTCTCATTCTTGACTTCCCTCTTTTTGTTAATGATAACACAGTTCTCCCAGTTTCCCAAGCTTTAAACCTTGTAATTACATGAATTTTCCTTCTCTACAAACCTCTCCCTCGTATCCAAACAGTCACCACATCCCCATTAATTCTCCTATGAAAACATCTTCATCCATAGATGCCTTTTATCGTCCCCAGTCTGGTTCTTCTTCTAATCCACCTCACACACAAACACCAGACTAATCTTCCTAAAATGCTGCTTTCATTCTTTTTACTTTATAACTCAAAAACCTTCAGTTACCCTCAGGAATGTGAAGAAAAAAATCGAATCTTCTCATCTTGTTATTCAAGGTTCTTCATGATCCTGTCACAAACTATTCTTCCTGTTTTATTCTTTTCCATGTCCCACTCATACCTAGTAAGCCTTTAAAATCACTCTAACCTGAAGTGCCCTTTGCTTCTTTTAAATCTCACCAAATTATGATGAGAAAGACTATTTGTAAATCCTAACATAGGGCCTAGAGTTAGGAAGACCTGAGTTCAAATCTCGCCTTAGACACTTTTTAGCTGTGTGACCCTGGGCATGTCACATAACTCTGTTTGCCTCCATTTTCTCATCTGTAAAATGAGGATAATAATAGCACCTACCTCCTATGGTTGTTGTGAAGAATAAATGAGATGATTGTAAAGCACAAAGCCTGGGGCATAGTAAGCAGTATGTAAATATTATTATTATTATTATAGCACTGTCTAAATATGAGCTAGTAGTGACACTATCACAAAAGTTTTAATTCCTTCACTAATAGTGCATTAGTATGCTTATCTTTCCATAGCCTTTCCTATATTGACTATTCCCATCTTTCATAATCTTTGCTAATTTATTGACTATGAGATAAAACCTCAAGGTTTTTTTCAATTTTCATTTCTGTTATTAATGATAAAAAGAAAGGCCAAAACATTTTGTAACAGCACTTTGTTTGCAGTAGCAAAGATCTAGTTATACATTAGATCCCCATAGACTAGGGAGTGCCTAAAGAAGCTATGGTACATGAATACTACTGTTCTGTGAGAAATGGTGAGTATGAAGCAGGAAAACAATATATACAATAACAGCAACATTGTAAGATAATCAGCTTTGAAGTAACTCTGGTAGACATAGTGACCACCTCTAGATAGAGAGCTGATGTGCAAATTGAAGCATATTTTCTTCTCGTTCTTTTTGGACATGGCTAATGTGGGAGTTTGTTTTGAATGACTATCAATATGTACAAATGGGTTTTATTTTTCTTGCTTTCTTAGTGAGATGGGGAAAAAAAAGGGAAGAGAGATTTCACAACTGAAAATAAAATAAAATTCAATTGGGGCAGCTGGGTGGTGCAGTGAATAGAGCTCTGGCCTTGGAGTCAAGAGGACCTGAGTTCAAATCCAGCCTCAGACACTTCACACTTACTAGCTATGTGACCCTGGGCAAGTCACTTAACCTTGATCACCTCACCAAAAAAAAGGCAAAATAAAATAAAATTGAATTAAGAAAATTAAAAAATGATAAATACAAAGAAGCATGGTAAGACAAGTGAGCTGATACAAAATGAAGAAAGCAAAATCAGAAAAACAATTTGTATGACTACAGCAATGTAAAGGGGAAAGATCCACACAACAAAACAATTGAAACTTAATATGGTGAAATTATAATGGCCGAGGGGATGATTGCCACCATTACATGGGGAATACTTTCCTGCTATAGCTATCATAAGGACACAATACTGATTTCTGTTAGTGGTTGGAAAAGAATTATAAAAAGCAACATAATCTATATATACCACATTTTGAGAAACTGCACTACAGTTAAGCCCACCCATCACAATCATGCCATCGTGATCATTGTTTTTACAAGTTATAAATGTGAAAATTATAGAGTACTTTATCAATAAGTACATTTATAGGGTAGGGACTAGACTATGATTTCATTGCTATAAGGTATTCCCAGAAGAGAAAAATTCCTCTATCAATGGTTAGCAAGATATAGTTTTTGAGTTACTAACCAAGCCAATATATGTCATAGGCAGAACTTGAATGAAGGTCTTCCTGGCTCCCAGACCAAATCTCTATTTCCTATGCCATGCTGCTTCTCTAAACATTTCTGTTGTATGTATTACTTTTTTCAGGTGTAATATAAATTGTATTAATTTTTTAATTTTATATGAATAAAATACAAGCTATGAAAATTATTTGCATAGATTTTTTCATGAAAAGTGTAGGATGTAACTATTTTGTTTTCATTTCTTTTTTGTAAAAGGAAAATTTTTACATAAAGTTTGGAAACCACCACATTAAAATAAGACAGCCATTCTGGGTTGATTGCAAGTATTATTGTATTTTACTTATTTAAGCTTTTGAATAGTTTTAATAGAAAATGAGAATTTATGGGATCGTAATCTGTTCCTGTATCAAAAGGTCATGATATTTTTATCTTTCACTTTTTAGAAGTTATATCATAATGCTACCAGACATATTTTTAAAAGTCATCAAAATATTGAAAGTAACTTTCTTTACATTTTTTGGACATTTTCAAAAAATAAATCCAAAAGTTGAATAAGGCATACCAAACTCCAAAGGTGGGCATAAATAAAAACTCAAGGACTAGATGGATTTACATGTGAAAATTGCATTATTTCAAAGGAAGGAAGGAAAGAAGCATTTTTTGAAGACCTACTATGTGCCAGGCATTGCGCTAAGTGCATTATAGGTATTATCTCATTTGATTCGCACAACAACCCTCAGAGGTTATTGTTCCTATTTTACAGCTAAGGAAACCAGGGAATATAGAGGTTAAGTGACTTGCCCAAAGTCACATAGCAAGTAAGTGTCTGAGATATGATTTGTTTTTTTTAATTAATTTATTTATTTATTTTTAGTTTTCAACAATCACTTGCATGAGCTTTTGAGTTTTAAATTTTCTCCCCCTTCCTCTCCACCTCCCTCCTCAAGATGGTGTGCAATCTGATAAAGACTCTACATGTACATTCCTATTAAGCCCATTTTCACATTAGTCATGTTGTAAAGAAGAATTAAAACCAATAGGAAGAACCGCAAGAAAGAAAAAAATGAAACAAAACAGAAGAAAAAAAAGAACAAATAGCATGGTTCGATCTGCATTCAGACTCC